TTGGCCTGCCAAGGACCTGTGACTTCAACATCAGTAACATTATACTATAAAGTGACAGTGGCTAACATGGGTTGACCATGTAAAATCTGCCTGACTTTCCCCCCTGCTGTGGATACAGCCTGTAGGACCCTCCATCTAGTGCAAATAACATGCTTTAGGATTGACTCTGGGTGGATTGAAGAATACCCCTTGTGTCTTTAGTTCTTTTCTTTAGGCCGCTCACAGAATCTTATAGGAACATTCTTCTACGATACCCTTAAACATGTCCCTATAAACATAGGGCAAGTGAAACCTAGAGAAAAATAGTTGGTGTTCCTTTGACTGGAAACCATCCACCAACCTAGGACTCCTGGCCTTTTGGCCCAGGGAGCTCAGAATCACATATCTGACGAAGTAGAAGCCCTAAGAGCTCCATTTATTCTACATTCATATTTTTTGGGGGTGGGGGGTGAGGCAGTTGGGGTTAAGTGACTTGCCCAGGGTCACACAGCTAGTAAGTGTCAAGTGTCTGAAGTTGGATTTGAACTCAGGTCCTCCTGACTCCAGGGCTGGTGCTCTATCCACTTCACCACCTAGCTGCCTGAGCTCCATTTATTCTAGCAAAATAGTCATTGATTAGATAATGAGTTCTTCACCTGGGGTCCTTGAAGGCAATAAAAAATTCTGCCTTTATTTTCACTAACCTTGAAGTGAAATTTAGCATTTCTTTCAATTATTTAATAAACATTATTCTGAGAAGTGGTCCATAGGTCTTATCAGACTGCTAACAAGGCCCATGACACAGGAAAGGATAAAAACTTCTGGATTAGAACCTGAGTTTCTGGTTAGGAATTGCTTTTAGTACATTCTTTGGAATTAGAATAGAATTTGTGAGCTAGTGGATTATTGAGTCTCTAGCACTCTCATTTTAAGTTAGGCCCCCAGAGGGGAAGTGATTCACCCAAGAATGCCCGGTGAATCAGTAGCAGAAGCAGGGCTGGGAACTCTGGTCTTTTGACTCCTAGCCTAGGGATCTTTCTGCCACCCCACACTGCTTCAATGGTGGTGGGTCTTTACCCTTTGAAGGTAGATTTTGTATATGTAAACAGCTAAGTATAATGAATAAGGCAGCCTCTCCCATCAGATAATGCCATTTATTACTTAAAACAAAGTGTGGTTATGAAGTGGAGACTGGTTTTGTGTGCCTCATCACAAGATCATCGTACTAGAATAAACCTTTTTTGTATTCCAGTCCAACCCTTTGGTTGTACAGATGATAAAACAGAGACTCAGTGAGGTTGGAGGATTTGCCAAAGTTTCCACAGTCAATAAGTGGGATTTGAACCCAAGTTCAAAGCCTCTTAGCCCAAGTTCGGCACTCTTCAGGCCACCACATGGCTCCAAACACCATTTCTCATGGAAATAAATGTTCAGCCTCCTGAGGGGACAGCCCTCCCTCAAGTGGACAAACTCTGGTGGGTAAATGTTGAAAAATGTCTCACTATTCTGTAGCATTACCTCAGACACTTGACAGCCTGGCCTTGGGCAGAGCCAACTTCCTGTATTAGAATTTCCCAGGCCTGGGCTCAGCAAGCACAGAAATCTCACACCTGGATATATTTCCTTGCCCAGGCCTGGCCAGGCTAAATCATACCGGATTGGTGAGTCTGAATACAGGTATGCTCCCCTTTGTGACCTCCACCCCTTCCCCTATCAGACTGATACAGGCATTCCCTCCCTCCACCCCCATCCCCCATCCTTGGTATTCTAAAAATGCCTAGAAGCTGACTCACTGGGGGCCAAGTAAAAGGGAGGTCTTAAATTCCAAGCTGAGAGGCCCAGTGTCGCAGACCGGCTCAGACTAGACTCTTGTCCATCATTCCATTTGGGAGGGGCTGAGCTGGACAGATCTGCTTCCTAGCATTTATGCTCTTTCCTTGCCCCAGTTTGCCTTGATTTGAGACCAGTCAGCTGGTGAGAGCATGCATCCTTCATGTTGTAAGCTCTACTATCTGCATACATGTTTGTTTCTCCCTAGTAGAATGTAAGCTCCTTGAGGTCAGGCAATGTTTTACTTTTGTCTTTGTGTTCCCAGCATCTAGCACCATGCCCGGGTATGTAGTAGGTGCTTAAAAAAAATGCTTATTGAATTGAATCGAATCTCTTTCTTCCTCTCATCTCTAGGCCTCATGTATTCCATATAAAAATGGGAATGGTAACATTGCCCCCACCCTGTTTCATAGGGATTTAGTGACAGTTATAACTCATTCATATATATGTATATATATGAATGTATATATGTGTATATAGGTATACACACATATGTATATATGTATATACTTATATATGTATATACATATACATGTGTGTGTATATATGCATATGTGTATGTGTATATGTATATCTATAATCTATATATACATCTGTATATAGATATCTAATACTGGAGCAAAATCCTACTTCAGATATCCTTGGGATACTAGATGTTCATGGTATTTGTGGTATAGGAGTACTGACTAGGACCTAAGAGATCTGAATTTTAATTCCAATATTACTAGTTTGTATGACCTTGGACAAGTCATTTCCCTTTTCTAGGCCTCTTTTTCCTTTTTTTTGCCTTCCCCACCTCAGAGGTGAGTTGTGGGAATCAAAGAGAAATGAAAGTGCCTTTTATATCTTAAAACTGTGTACTCTTGATTTCATAAAAAATTTAGAGCTAAAAGGGCTTGTGGACCACAGAATTCCAGAGCTGGGAGATCTATAGAGTTTCAGAGGCAGAAAAGGCCTCAGAAACCATCTGGTCTGACCCCCAGAACCCAGAGAGGACAAAATTGAGAGGTGAGGGGAAGTGACTTGTCCAAGGACACCTCAGTCATTTCTTCATCTATGTCCTGATCCCAACCTTCCCTCCCACCTCCCCACAGAGCAAGCTGAGCCCCTGCACCTCCAGATCCTTTCTCCCATTCTCTCCTTTCCTTCCTGATGCCCTGCCCATGTTTCTTTCGGTTGCTTCTGCTGTGTGCTGGCATCTGGCAGATGATGAAGCTTTGGGCTGTTTCTCTTTCAGTTCCCTCCCTTTTGCTATCCTATCATCATCATTCTGCTTCTTTTCTTTTTCTGTTCTTCCTTTTTTTTCTTCCTCCTGCTCCCCTGTTGTCTATCGGGATTCCCTGTGCTCCAGCCAGACCTGGTTCACATTCAGATGGCTCCAAAGGTATTTCTCTCCTCCCCCTCCCACCCCCATTCTGGGGAACTGCCTTCCAAGGGCGCCTGGCTGGGGCTGGGGCTGGGGCTGGGGCTAGGGCCGGGACCTGGGCTGGGGCTGGGTCTGGGACATGGCACCAGGCAAAGAGTAGCAGCTGAATTTGCTGGGTAAACTAGTAACTGAACAGTTAATTCATGTCATCGATGGGTGGCCATTCATTTAATGAAGGAGAGGTCTCTGCCCAAGTAGCCATGATGCCCCCTGGGGAAGAGGGGGGCAGGCCTATAGTGATAAATCACAGCTTCTGAGTCAGGGTACAGGACAAGGTGAGGGTGGTGGCTGGGTTTGGAAAGCCAGGATCACAGGCATCTTCTTGTTTTTATAATTTCTTTCCTTCCCAGGGTATTGTGATATAGTGGATACAGTACTGGGCAGGGAGTCAGGAAGGCCTGGGTTCAAATCCTGCTCCAGATACTAGCAATGTGACCATGGTCAAGTCACTTGACCTCAGTAAGCCTCAGTTTCATCATCTGTAAAGTCAGAATTATAATAGCAACTACCTAACAAGTCTCTGTGAGGTACAACTGAAATCATATATGTAAAGCATTTTGTAAGCCTTAAAATACTATGTAAATATGAGTTATTATTACTATTGTTATTGGGTAATCCTAAGGCTCCAGAGAGTTGAGGTTGTCAGACCTCCACTTCTCATCTTCCTATTTTCCTGGTATCTGTACTCCAAGACTCTTCTCCTCTCCCATCCCTTCAAAGGGTGTGTGTGTGTGTTTGCTTGTGATGTGTGTGCAAATGCCCTTCCAGGTGGGAATTTCCCAAATTCCCTGCCAGAGAGCTAGTAAGAAGCCTCTCTTCCAGGAGATGGCCAATTATGCCTGAGTCTGGGTCCTGTCCCTAGAGGATGATGGTATCTGGAAAGGGGGTGGGGTTAACTTATAACCTGAAGAACCCTCCAAGTGTCCTGACTTAGGCTTACACCAACCTCCCTTGTTCAAGCAGCGTGGAGAACTCAGGATATTTGGGATCTGGCGAAGGCGCCAATAAAACTGCTGTGGAAGAGCCAAGATTAGGAGTCACGCCCCAGGCATTTGAATCCCAACTCCACCACTGACTTGCTTTGTGACCCCAAGCAAGCAATTTCCCCTTTCTTGGCTTCAGTGTCTTCCTCTATAAAACGAGGGTCTGTACTGACTGCGATGGCCTCTGAGTAGGGTCTTAGCTCCATCCCCTGCTGATGGCTTCTTATGAAGCACCCAGCTTCCCGCAGCCAAGGAGCTGCTGTACCTTCCTCTGTAATAGTCACATCCTGCCTTCTCCTTTCTGGACCCAGGCAACCACCATGCATCCCACTGGGAATGAGGACTGGCCGCTAGGGCTTCCATTTAGACGGTTATGCAGCCCCTGCCTCTTTCAGGTGGATGAAGCAAAGCAAGACAGGCCTGGTTTCTCCTGATGTTTAGGGCAGAGGGCCCAGACCAGACCATACCTTGGTCATCTCCCTGGCTTTCAGGATAACTTTATCTAATAGATCCTGGCTGGACCCAGAGCCCGGAGCAGCTGCATGTTGTGTTTCCTAATAGCCGTGTGACCACAGGCAAGTTTCTTTTCTCTCTCAGCTGCCATTTTCTTCTCTGTAAAGTGGGGAATGGAGGGCTTGACTTTCCTTGCAGTTCTGCCATTCTATGCTCCTGTCGGCCGGAGGGCAGCACTTTGGGGCCCAGAGAGAGTTCAGCATCACTCCGAGAGCTTCCTGGACCTCCTTACTGACAGCTCCCCTTCTCCTTTCCTTCCCTTACTTCAGAGAGGGAGACTGGTGGCTGGCCCACTCACTCACCACTGGGCAGACTGGCTACATCCCCAGCAACTACGTAGCCCCATCTGATTCTATCCAGGCTGAGGAGTAAGTAGCAGCCTTGCCACCCCCTCCCTCCCCACTCCACCCCTCTCAGTGGGGAAAGCTTCCCAATTGCAGCCCTGCTCCCTGTGCCTCCTCCTGTCCTTGCTTGGCTCACTGGGCCTGTTCAGAGGAGGAGTGTTTGCCTTTCTAACTCAAGAGGGCATTTTGATGTTAGAGAAAAGAGCAGCGGCCTAAGAATCAAAGACCTGATTTCAAGTCTCACTCCTACTGATTTTTCAAGCTGTGTGATTCTGGGAAAGTCACTTCCCTCAGTTTCAGTTTGGTCATCTGTGAAAAGGGAGATGATACTATCTACCTCACTGGGCTGTGGCAATTGAAACTTTGGGTAAAGCATAAAACCCTATAGAAATGAGATCGATTTGTAACTAATTCGCTGCTCATCTCCACCAGGTCCTTAGGAAAAGAAACTCACTGGCATCAAATAAGGCAAGACTGCCTTTTCTGGAGGGCAGTGCTAGATATGGAATCAGAGGGCATGGGTCTGAATCCCTGCCTTGCTGCTTCCTGCCCAAAGAACCTTGGTCAAACCATCTGAACCTCAATTTCTCCATGTTTAAAATGGGAATGGGTGGGTGAGATTGTACTAGAGACCACCTCTAAAGACTCTCTGTGGCCCTACATCCTAGCATCCTTTCAATGATGCTGGAGAGGGCTGACACAAATTTGGCTCCCCCCCCCTTTTTTTAATTAAATTTGATTTTTTTTTATCAGCAAAAATCAGCAGTCTCTCTCTCCCTCTCTCTACCTTTTTCCCCCTCCCATCCCAAATTAAGGTGGTACTTTGGCAAGATCACCCGTCGAGAGTCTGAGCGGCTGCTGCTTAATTCGGAGAATCCCCGAGGCACATTTCTGGTCCGGGAAAGTGAGACCACCAAAGGTATCCATTCCTTCCACTCCCTGCCCCTGGATCCTTGGACTAAAAGGGCACTGTAGGGAGGGCCTCAGCTTGGGATGGAGTCTTTAGAAACAACTTCTACCTAAATAAGCACCACCCATGTTAATCTAAAGGGTCCTTGGGCTTGGGTTCTAGTACCCTAGGTTTGAGTCCCTGCTCTATCTCTGATTCACTCTGTGATTTGGAGCAAGTCATTGGACTTCACTGGGCTTCAGGGTTTTTTGTCTGTTAAATAGAAATAATACTTGCCCAACTTACCTCTCAGGTAAGAATTAAAGGACAGAAATGTAGAGTTGGAAGGGACCTTAATGGCCATTTAGTCCAGCCTCTTTGTCAAAGGAATCCTCCCTGGAACATACCAGAAAAGTCTCTGCTTAAAGACTTCAAGAAGGAGGAACCTCCATTCCTCTTTTAGATAGCAGAACGTCTGGTGTCTGGTTGTTAGGAAGTTTCTCGTGCTATCCACTTCACTTTCTTTGCAGTTCTTACCCTTGCTCCTTTTGGTTTGGCTTTCTGAGACCATATAGAAGAAGTCTCACCCTCTTCCACACTCCAAATACTGAAACAGGTTCAGCTGGGTGTTCCTCAAGTCTTTTCCAAGCTAAAACTCCCCAGCTCCTCATGGAGCATGGACTCAAGACACTTTACTATCCCAGTGGCTGCCCCTTCCCTGGATGCTTTCCAGCTTAGCCACATCCTCCCTGCCCAATGCCTCCCAGAACTGGACGAAGCATTTCAGTTATAGGCTGTCCAGGGCAGAGCCGAGCAGGCCTATCACCTCCTTATTCCTTAGGCTTCTCATCATGAGGCGCAGCAGTGCATTAGCTTTTCTTAGTGGCCACTCCACATGCCCAGTCGCCTCATGTGGAGCTTGCAGGCCTCCTAAACCTTCTGCTCTTTTTCAACTCTGCTTTCCTCACATTGTCCTTGTGAAGTCAGTTTTAAAAGTAGATAACTTTACATTTATCCCTTTTAAATTTCATCTTAGTAGATTCAGCTCAATGTTCTAGACCAGGGGTCAGCAAACCACAGTCTGAGGGCCTCTTCCTGTTTTTGTATGACCCATGAGCTAAGAATCTAAAAAATTTTTTTTTAAACGCAGTAAAACTTTATTTTAAAATGTCAGAATTCTTAGCTTAGGGACAGTATAAAGACAAGCCACAGGCTAGATTTGGTTCTTAGGTCAGGCAGTGGTTTGCCAACCCCTGCTCTTACACTGTTAGAATCTGTTTGGATCCTGGCTCTCTTATCCAGTGTGTTAGCTATCTGTCCAGCTTTGTAACATCTGTGCATAGGATGAGCATGCCATCTCTGTTTCTATCTAAGTCACTGACAAAAATGTTCTAACACAGGGTCAAACAGATTCCAGTGGTACTCCACTGGAAACTTCTTTCCAAGTTGACATTGAATCGTTGACCTACTCCTTACCCAGTTCTGAATCCATCTAATTGTACCATCACCTAGGCCAGTGGTTTCAAACACAAATAGAAACAAATCACCATAGGGCATATTGGCTTAGAAAACCATGAATTAGGGGGCAGCTAAGTGGTGTAATGGATAGAGCACTGGCCCTGAAGTCAGGAGGACCCGAGTTCAAATCTGGCCTCAGATCAGCCACTTGACACTTACTAGCTGTGTGACCTTGGGCAAGTCACTTAACCCCAATTGCCTAAAAATAAAAAAAAAGAAAAAAGAAAAGAAAACCATGAATTAAACATTATCTATGTTGTATTGTATTTTTATTTATTTTGTTCAATATTTCCCAATTATTTTTTAGTCTGGTTTGATACCTCTGAGCTAGCCTCCATCTCTTCTTTTCCACCAGACTAGCATGAGATATTTTATCAAATAATTTGCAAAAATCTAGGTAAACTTTATCTACATGAATCTCCTGTTCTACCTGTCTCTGGTAAGCCTGTCAAAACAAAAAACAAAAAAAAGGAAATAAATTTAATCTGGCATGATTATTCCTTCTTTAAAAAAAAAAGTTTTATTGATGTCTTTTGTTTTTTTATATCACCATAGTTTCTTTCATTTTTCTTCTTTGAGAGCTATCCCATACAGTAAATAGTATTTTTTTAAGACAAAAAAAGAGGGAAAAATTAGCATAACTAATATATTGAAAGTCTGATTATGTGTGCAATGTGCAACATTTGAGGACCTCCCACCCCCTGTAAAGGGGTGAAGTAGGAGCATTTTCTTACAACTATTCTTTTGAGTCATTCTTGTTCTTTATCCATTTTTCTAGATTTACTGTTGATTTGTATGTGTGTGTGTGCATGCGAGGTTTTTCTTTCTATTTATATTATTGTTGTCATTGTGTATATTGTTTTCTCAGCTCTGTTTACTCTGTATCAGTTCATATAGATCTTTCCATGTTTCTCTGAATTCATCACATTCACATGATTTGTTCTTAATAAAGTCATACTGCTTCTCTGTGATTACTGTTTCCTTTTCCAGATGTTCCCTACCAATTTCTTTAATAATCTATCACAGAACTTTGCCAGGAATTGAAGTTGGAAGCCAATGGTTTTCAGACCTTATTCTCTTGTTTGTTTTTTAATCAGTACATTAGCCCTTCTCCAGTTCTGCAGTACCTCTCCCACTCTCTGACATATTTAAATAATGTGCTGTACATGTATGCGCGTGAGCGCGCACACACACACACACACACCCCCTCTACAGTTATCCCTTTTAGGGGTTAGGGATGCAGCCCTCACATGTAAAACTTTTTGGCCCTCCCTTCATACCAAAGGAAAAAAATCTGAATTTTTTCTTTTATGGGGTGTTTACAGTACCTTATTGTAAAATTTGGGTCTAAGTATTTGGTCATAGACTCCATGTCACCTGCTGGCCTTTGCATGTCATCTGCAGCTCCTGCGAAACTCCTAAAAAATTCCCACTTAATTTCTCATGCCATCCGCAACATGTTGAAACCTCAGTGAGGAAAGACATGATGTGGAAGGGATAACTAATGCATATATTTGTACACAGCCATTGAGGGAATTTGTTTTGCTTGATTATGCATATTTCTTTTGTGGAATTTGGTTTTCTTTCACTTTTTTCCACTGGGATGGGAGGAGAGAGGAGGAAAAAAAAATTTCTGTTCATTTAAAAAGCAGAGGTAGAGGGTGCTACAGATGTGGAATGTTGCATACACTTTCAGATAAGGTCACTGTATTATCAGTCCTGTTTTGTTACAAGCGATCTCTCACTGAATGGTGGTAATCCGTAAATGTAATGGGAAAACAAAACACCAATAAAACTTAAAAACACACATAATAAATATCCCTGTTGGTGGCTCAGCAATCACATTCATCAACTAGGTGACCCATAAAGTTCCATCTAACTCTGAATCTTAGGACTCTAAAGTCATTATTTATCAATTCATTTCCATTCAGCAAAGATACATTAAGCACCTATTGTGTTCCTTGGCAGGTTGACTCTCAATAAACTAGTGTGGATTCCTGTTGCCTCTAGGAGCAGATACAAAATGCTTTGTTTGGCATTCAAAGCCCTTTATCATCTAGCCCCCTCCTCCCTTCCCGGTCTTCTTACACCTTCCTCCCCAACAAGTGCTCTTTGATCCAGTGACACTGGCCTCCTGGCTGTTTCACAAACAAGACACTCCATCTCTTGGCTCTAGGCATTCTTTCTGACTGCCCCCCTGGCTGGAATGCTCTCCCTCCTCTGCTCTAACCACTGACATGCCTGGCTTCTTTTAAGTCCCAATTAAAATCCCACCTTCTATGGGAAGCCTTTCTTTAGCCCTCGGTTAATTAGATGAAACAGTCCCTGCCTCTCGGAGCTTGTCTCTTGCCAGAGGGCTACAGTTTGCACGCAGATAAGTAAATGCAAGGTCATTTGAGGCAGGAGAGGGTACAGACCACTAGGATGATCAGGCAAGGCTTTAAAGGAGTTGGCATGGGATGTAAGATGGGGATTCAGAGGGGCAGAGATGAGGAGGAAGTGCATTCCAGGTGTGAGACAGCCGGAGCACATTCATCACATGTGCATCTCTGAGCCCCAGCTGGCCCAGGTTCCCCATGGTCCCCCTAATGCTCTTTTATGGGGGGGACTGGTGATTAATGACTCTGTCATCCTCACCGTCTCCTTTTTCTGTGGTTACCACTGAAAGAGACCACAGCTCTGATCTCCCCACCTCCTGAGCTGCAGCACATCATCTCTGCCTCTTCTCTTCCTCCCCTCTCCCTCCTTCTCTAGCACACTGTTGTGGCTGCATTGATCCGTCCTTTGGAGAATGCCTAGCCCCTTCATTGTCTCCCTCAGCCAATCAGCAGAGCACCAGGCTTCACATGGGAAGGCAGTCCTGGCCCTGGCCCTGGCTCTAGCCTTTTCCCCAAGAGCTGTGTGGAAAGTGGGTCAGGAAGCTGGGAATAGCTGGGTAACCCATGACAACCGAGGACTCGGGCCTCCACCTTCTGCAGAGCCTCTGACACGGGGCGAGCTAGAGAGACAGAGAGAGCAGCGTGCATGGATGCTCGAACAGCTCTAGGCCTGGGGCTGCTGCTAACTTGCTCTGTGACTCTGCCCAAGCGCCATTCCCTTCTTGGAGCTGATGGTTGGATTAGATGATTTCTGGGCCCTTTCCAGTTGTGAAGTTCTATGCTCCAAGGACCCTCCCAGCTGTCACATGAAGTGTTTTGTTATAAGGTTCCCGCATTCTGTGTTAAGCAGGTGGCCAAGCCAGGCTCTGGGCTCATTGAAGGAGACTGTGTTCTCAAAAGCCCCTCTTCCAATGACCCAGAAACCCTTCTCCTGCAAGTTTTGAATATTTCTTCCTGCCTCCTTCCCCCCAGACCCCCAGCTTCACTCTTTGCTTATTATGTGGACAGAGAAATTAACCCTTGGAAAGGAATGTGACTATGAACCAATATGGCTGCACTGGTGGTTTACAAAGCATTTCCCTGAGCGTTTTGTGGGGATGATGCATTCAGGTCACTTGAGCCCCGGCCTGGGAAGGCTGCTGCCTCCTCTGGGAAGGGAGGGGGGAGGTTACTGTTGCTTCCCCCAGGTAGAAGTGCAGGGGCCATTAAGCTGGTGGTATGTGGCGCTGAACCTGGCCCCTGGAGAGGGGCAAGCATTTCTGGTTAATTTTTTTCTCAGGCAGACCTGGGACTTTCTTACCAATTACCCAGGGGGATTTATGAGGCTGCTGGGTGGGAGATGGGAGGTGGGGGTGGGCAGGACTCACTAATTCTTCATCCTGTCCAGAGTAGTGGTAATACTAATAGTTCCCATTTTGCTAAAGTACTTTCTTCACCTCCCCTTTGTCCCCCAGGGTTAGTAGCATAAATATCATTATCCGCATTTTTCTGAGGAGCAAACTAGGCTGGGAGAGCTCATCACTTGCTCTTGGTCATAGAATCATTGGATTCCAGGTGCAGCTGGTGTTCGAACCTGGGTCTCCAGGTCTAAAATCCAGCCCCATTTTGTTACCACTTCACTGCCTCCTAGACCTTGAACTGTTAATAGCAGGGAGCAGAGGTCACTTCTTTTTTAAAAATAAATCTTATTGACAGCTTTTGCTTTAATATCACCTACATTTCCCATTCTATCCCTCCCCTTATGCCTTGCCAGAGAGTTGCTTATGATAAAGAATAAGAAAAGAGAAAGAAAAAAAATCCTCAAAACTGACCAACATATCTAAAAAGTCTGACCTGATAATGCAGTATTCCACACTTATGGTTCCCCCACCTCTGCAAAGAAACAGGGGGAGGTGCAGGTCTCTCTTTTTAAAATAACTTGGTATTTTATACTTTCATTGTGGTAAAGTTATTCTTATCCCCATTTGACAGATGAGGAAGCTGAGGCCCAGGGAGGGGAAGTGACACAGTGAGTTAGGGATAGAACTGGAACTAGAACCCAGTTCTTCTGACTCCTGGCCTTGTGATCATTCTACTCAAAACATCTGTTTATCAAGGGGACAAAATCCTAGCCATCCGATACAAAGGTTGTTAAGCCTGGATTGGAGTGAGGGTCAAGGATGAGGATTTCCCTGCTTCCTTCACCCCTTCATTCCCCAGGGTTCCCCTGCTCCCAAGCTGTGGCTTTGGGTTTGGCCTGGCAGGTCCTCCATACTGTCAGGAGCAGTGTGACAGGTAAATCGCTAGAGTATCCTTACTCAGCGGTCCTGGTCTTGGCCACAGGCCAGTGCCTTGTCCTTTGTGTGCATAGAGACCCCCGGTCCCTTCTGGGAAAAAGGGCCCCCTTTCAGGATTCCTTCCTGGGGCTGACATCTCCAGCTGAGACCTCTAGTTGAGTGAGGAGTATGGTCCCTTTGCTGTCCCGAGATGAGAAGGGGCCTGGGCTCCTTGGTAGAGGCCCTGCTTCTATAACCTGTTTTCTCCTGGGCTCTTTTTGTAGGTGCCTATTGCCTTTCTGTCTCTGACTTCGACAATGCCAAGGGTCTCAATGTGAAACATTATAAGATCCGAAAGCTGGACAGCGGAGGCTTCTACATCACCTCCCGCACACAGTTTAACAGTCTGCAGCAGCTCGTGGCCTATTACTCCAGTATGTTTTTGTTGTGAGCTGGTCAGCTGTTCCAGGGGTAGGGACACAGGGATGGAGCGGTACCTCTGCTCTGCTCCCTTGGTCCTGGCAATGATGGTGTGTGTTGGGGGTGGGGTCTTATCTTGGCAAGAGGAAGAAGTGGGGGTCCTAGGTGAGGACTGAGCTGTGGGTGAGCCAGAGATGGACAAAGAAGCCAGAAGAAGCTCCCCTGCATTGCAGAGATCCCGGCATCCCCAGGGGTCAGTTGGCTAGACTTGTCCCTAGGAAGGCTGCTGCAGCTTAAGGGAGGAGCCATGAACCTCCCTGTGTGGCCGTGTGGTTTCTTGCACATCTGCATATGTGTATATGTTGTGTTTGTATCTATTTCTGTGTGCCCCCACGTGTTTGTGTGCAGCTGGATGGATGTGCATGGGCCTGTTTTTGTAGATTTGTGTATGTATCTGTGGGCATCTTTGTACATTGGTATGTGCGTGATTATGTTGGTTTGTATCTTCATGTTGTTCTGCATAACTGCTTATAGATCCTGGAGGGTTTGTCATCTAACCAAGTATCTGCATGTCTTCAGGCAGACCTGTGTTTGTGTATATTGCCATAGTAGTGTCTGTCTGCATGTATTTGTATATGCAGATACTTCTATGTGATTTTGCATACTTGTAAATCTGCATATGTTTTCATATCTCTCTTTTGGAAGCATGCCTACGTATGTTTTTATGCATGGGATGTGTGCTCTGTATCTGCTGTGTGTGTGTGAGTGTATGTGTGTTTGCATGTATGCGTGTATGTTTAGCAAGAGGTGGAAGAAGGAAGGGTCCCAGGACAAATAAACTTTCATCACTTTAATCGAAATCTTGAAAAGCTAAGGAACAGAATGCAGGGTGTGGGCTATCTTGGACTTTATCTCTGATCAATTGTCTGGCCTGTCCTACTTCCCTTTCTCCCCTTTACTCTTCCAGAACATGCTGATGGCTTGTGCCACAGACTCACCAATGTCTGCCCGACATCCAAGCCACAGACCCAGGGCCTGGCTAAGGATGCCTGGGAGATCCCCCGGGAGTCCCTGCGCCTGGAAGTGAAACTGGGTCAGGGCTGCTTTGGAGAAGTGTGGATGGGTGAGAGCTCCCTCCTTCCTTGCTTCCCTTCCTCCTCTGTCTTCTGTCCTTCTTCTTCTCTTTCCCTTTTTGTCTCTGATGCCAGATGACCCTCCCTTCTGGCCTGGTCAACCTCCCCACCTAAGCCACAGGAAAAATACCTAAACCCTCCACCTTAGCCTGGAATATATACATCATTTCTTTCCTGCTGCTCAGGCATATGGTTTGATCTTCTAATTAAGTCACTGCAGGTCAAGTCAGTAAAGCTGTATTAAGCCCCTACTGTTTGCAGGACCTGTAAGAGGACACCTTGTGTTGAGGTCAGAGAAGTCAGCTGGTCTGACTTGAAATGAAGGAAATTAAATCAGCTGAAATGAAGGAAATTAAATCAAGAGCTGGCTGGGGAGATGAGACATGCACACAAGTCCATGGGCCCAGTCCTGTTCATATCAAGATCTCTCCTGGCCATCTTCCCTTTGCTCAAAGCTACCCCCTTCATAGAGACCCAAAGTCCCTCTTGAATAATCTTCCTAGATCATAGCTCTGATCACATCACTCCAAATGAACTGCTTCTTCTCCTATCTCCCCCACAGCAATGACCACCAAGGTCTAAACTTCTTAGCCTGGCATTCAGTGCCCTTTACAATATGGTTTCATTCATCTATTCATTGAACACTTATTCGGCACATAGTATGTGCAGAACACTGTGCTTGGCACTTGGGGAGAGGGGAGGTACAAAGCTAAACTAAGCCATGGCCTCCATCCTTGTGGCGTTCACAGTCCGAAAAAGAACTAAAAAAGTCTCTGTGCTTTAAATATTTTTTAAAAAATTAAAAGAAAGAGGGGGGGAAGAGATAGTATTCCACGTATAAGGAACAGCATAAGCAAAATGGAACAGTTGAGAGTATATAAGGCATATTACAGGAGTAGAAAGGAGTCCAATTAGGTTGGCTTTCAGAGGGGATGAATATGAAGTATGTGAAGGTAAATTGGTGTGAGATTTGTGAAGGTCTTTGAATGGCAGGCAGAAGAGCCTGAACTTTCCCTGGGAGGTTATAAGGGAGTTACTGACAGTGTTTGAGCAGGAGAACACTGTTGCAGCAGTCCAGATGGGTAGCAATGAAGGCCTATACCAGCTAATTAATGTGCTCAGTTTTGTATGTGTTCAGTTTGATATGCCTGTGGGGTATTCAGATAGAGAAGTCATACAGTCAGTTGGAGGTGCATGTCTGGGATGGAAAAGAAAGGTTAGGACTGAAGAACTGGAAAATCTACCTTGAGATGTTGATAGCTGAAGTTATGGCAATGAACGAGATGGTAAAGGGAGAGGATGTAAGGAGAGAAGAGAGGAAAGACTCTTGAGGAAAACCAACCAATTAAAGGGTGAGGAAGAAGATGGGGAAGGAGCAAAGAAGACAGAAAAGAAGCCATTAGAGAAGTAAGAGAAACAAGAACATGGTGGCTCTGAAACCCAAGGACAAGGGAAAGTAGTCAATAAGAGGGGGTGCCCAGCAGTATCAAGAGCTGCAGAAAGGGCAGAGAGGATAAGAATCAAAAAAGCACCATTGATCTGGAGGTCAGTGATGACTACACAGAGTAGTTTAGCAGACTGGTGAAGGTGGAAGCCTGGTTGCAAGGAGTTGAGGAAGTAGAGTTATTAGGTATGGACAATTTTTCTCATATGTTCAGCAGTGATGGGGAGGAAAGAAACTGAATAGTAGTTGGATAGGATAGAAAGGTCAATGGTCATTTTTTTTGTCAGTGGTCATTTTAAAAGGAATTGGAAAACCTCAGCATGTTTGTAGGCAGCTTCAAAGGAGCCAGGAGAGGAGAGACTAAAGATGCCCAAGAGAGAAGGATGGCTGTCACAGGAGACTGAAAGGAGGGAATAGGATCAAGTGCCCGTGAGTAGAGGGTTACCTCCCCTTCTGTGACCAGAGGGAAGGAGAAGCGAGGGAGTGATGATGCTGAAGTCTGAAGAGTAGAGGAGGGCAACTGATGGTTGTCACTATCTTCTCTGGGACCTTAGATCTAGGCCTCCATCTCTGACTACCTGCTTGACATCTCCATCCGGAGGAACCGTAGTCATCTCAAACTCAACATGTCCAAACCCAAACTCCTATCCGTTCCCTTAAGCCCATACCTTCTTCTAACTTCCCTGTTTCTGTTGAGAGTTTTATCCAGGTTTAAAACCTCAGAGTCAATCCTGACTCTTCATTCATTCTCCCTCTCCTCCATCCACTTCATGTACCTAATCAGTTGTTGGATCTTGTTGATTCCACCTTTTCAATGTCTCTCAGCTCTCCTTTTCTGAGCAGATCAGGGTGGGCACCCTCTGGGGGGGCACCCTTCCCTGAGCCCACCACTTCTGAACCCTCAGGGACCTGGAATGGCACCACCAGGGTGGCAATAAAGACCCTGAAGCCTGGCACTATGTCCCCAGAAGCCTTCTTGCAAGAAGCACAGGTCATGAAGAAGCTTCGGCATGAGAAGCTGGTACAGCTGTATGCTGTAGTGTCTGAGGAGCCCATCTACATCGTCACAGAATACATGAACAAGGGTGAGCTGCAGGGCAAGAGAGGAAGCCATAGGGCAGAGGGCTGGCCATGGGTCAGTTACGCTGGGTCTGACAGCAGTCTAGATGAACTATGGGAGGCAATGGGCATGTGGAAAGGTGACTGATGGAGCAGTTGAAGAGAGGCAGTAGGTCTGGGTTTAGATCCTGGCTCTCACCCTACATTCAGTTATGTGATGTCAGACAAGTTCTTTCCTCGGTTTCCTCACCTGTAAAATGAAAAGATTGAACTAGATGGTCTCTGAGATCCCTTCTGGCTCTAAATCTGTGATTTCATGGTCCATTTCTACCTTCAATTTGCTCATTTGTAAAACGGTGATTGAACTTCCTTTTGGTTCTACATCCTATGATTTTAGGAGGAAATACAAGTAAATTCTGGATTTGGACAACTTAATAGATGACATTCATAGAACAGATCATTTTATAGAAAAGATTCACCCCCCTGCCCCCCAGATCTGAAATGGAGAGTGAAGTGCGAGTTGGAACAAACAGTTTTCATTTGCTGCTCGACATGGGAGTGTTTCGTTGGGCTTCCAACTGAACAAGCCTGACTGGACCCGGCCCAGAGCTGCCCTCTGTGCTGACCCTGGGACCGCATCAGACCGTCCTGACATTCTCCAGACTGCCAACCTAAGGCAGTCTTTTTTTTTTTTCTTCCAAATCTCACCTGTGTCTTAATTTCCCCTGAAATCTCTTTAAAATAATGAGTACCCCAGGGCATTCACTTGATTTTCATATTCCCTGTCTTGTAGAGTCATGGGACACAAAGTCCAAAGGGATCTCAGAGATCCGACAGCCTCATTTTATGGAGGAGGAAGTTGAGGTTTCCAGAGAAGTGACTTGTCCAAGGTCATGTGGCTGTTTAGTAGCCAAGCAGGGAATCAAACCCAGGTCTTCTGCCTTCTGACTTCCAGTGCCTTTTTCTATGACATCTGGGTTCAAATTACAGCTTTACTAGCTATGTGGTCTTGTGGAAAAATAATTTTCCATATGGGGCCTTAGTTTTCCCATCAGCATGAGAGAGTTAGATGATCTCTGAGGTGCTTTCATTTCTAAATCCTATGAAACCTGTGATATGAAAAGCAAGTTCCTCCCATTTCCTATTGAGGAGCCATGAGACTGACACCTCAAAAGTTACCCTCCATTAGGACCCCTTGTCCTGTGCCCCAACTGGCTTCCCTGTCCTATGGCCAAGGCTGGGGCACCTTTCTTCGGCTTTGGGGGTGGATATTGGGATGAGGAGGCTTATGGCCACCCTCGATGAGAACTAGGCTGCTTCTTCCCACAGGGAGCTTGCTGGACTTCCTTAAAGGTGACATGGGCAAGTATCTTCGGCTGCCCCAGCTGGTGGACATGGCTGCTCAGGTGAGCTCAAGGAGTAATCCAGAGTCCTGTGCACCCAGACTTCTGGCTTATGTGTCCTCCCAAACACTGCTTCATATTTAAGGTTTAGCCCAGGTTCCCTCAGGCCATTCTAGCTCAGCATGGCTCCTCCTCCTCTGTAAACTTGTAGGAGTGATTGTTTGAGCCATTCATTTGAATTGATTCTTTTAGAATTTTGAGCTTGGCTGGGACTGGGGCTGGCTCATGGAAGAAGTCAGTGTACATGTTGATTGGCTGAGAGGCAGTGAGGTATTGCAGAAGGGATGGTCTTGGATTCAGAAGACCTGCCTTTCAGTCCATGCTTTGCTATTTCCTAGCTGAGTGACCTCTTCTCTCGACCTGAGTATCCACATCTCTAAAATGAGCATAATAATATTTGCCTTGCCTCCCTAAGGGAGCTATGAAGTGCTGGATAAGGCTAAAAGTATTTTAGCAATGTGGGCTATTGTAATTACTATTGATTCAAGCAATCCATCATTAAGGATGTATTAAGCACTTACTGACTGGATGGAATTCAAGGAACAATTACTGTACTGTAGGGGATTCAGATATATCAGACCTGGTACCCATCCAAAGAGAACTTACAGTCTAGGAAAAGGGCATACCCTTAGGAAGTGGTTAATGAAGACGAGGGGCACTTGTGGGGGTCCAGGAGCCTGAAGATTGAGCCTCAGTTCTGCCACTGATGTGCTGTCAGTTGTTTCTTCTCACTGGGGCTCAGGTTCTTCCATCTTTAAAATGAAGGTTTAGACCCGAGTATTTCAAAGGGCCTTGGGCAGTCAATTTATCTCCCTGGGCCTTACTTTCCTTCTCTGTGAAATATGGAGAAATAGAGGGATCTGTAAGGGCTCTTCCACCTCAAAATCCTGTAAGTAGGGAATGGAACATGTACAACAAGACTCGACCCCTCCCAGGATGGCCTGCCTCTGGCTGCTCTTAGCTCTCTTCCTTTGCTGGGTTAGCTAATGGGGACCCAGCTATTTGTTTTAAACTTCAAAACCTGCCTCCAGCTGGATGCGTGAATGAGTTCGATGGCTTGAGTCAGAAACTGAGAGGGGCCAGCATGGCCCTGGTTAGGGCTCTCCCAGAAACATGGCTTTTACCTACAGATTGCATCTGGTATGGCCTATGTGGAAAGGATGAACTACGTCCACCGAGACCTCCGGGCTGCCAACATCCTGGTGGGAGAGAATCTGGTATGCAAGGTGGCAGACTTTGGGCTGGCTCGACTTATTGAGGACAACGAGTACACTGCCAGACAAGGTATGCAGGCCCCACGGGGAAGGAAGGCATCAGCAGGCTGGTGCAGCAGAGAGGGCTGGGGTCAGCAGGCCTAGGGGCTGCTTCAACGTCATCACCAACTTGGGCGACTCATTTGCCCACTTGGTCTCCTCCTTTACGAAACAGGAATAATAACACCTATCCAGTTTACCAAGAGATACTGACCTCAACCGAGGCAGTGGTCAGTGATGGTATCTTGGAGGAGGTGAGATTTGGTCTGATTTTGAAGAAGAAGCAAAGAGATATGGATTAGAGGTGGGGGAGGGGAATGGAAGGTTATGGCAGATGCAACAGATGCACCAGTGGGGAAGCAAGTTAGAGAGCCATGTAGACCAGTGGATTTGGCGTGGCTGTGGATAATTTAGGTCATGTCTTTGGGGACCATTTCCATCTTCAGAAAGTGGGAGAGTTGGGCTAGATAATCTTTAAGGCCCTTGCCAACTTTAATTCCCTGCCTTACTAATAAATTCCCTAACTCACCATGTGATGTCATGCCAGTCACATCATCTCATCTGTGAAACTAGGACAGAAACACTTGCCCTCACCTACTGACTAGGCTAAGGGGTCTCGTGAAGACTGAATGAGATAATGGACCTGAAAATGCTTTGAAAAGCTTGGAACAAGCTCTGTTCCAAGGTGACACGTGTATACCATTAAGGCTGGTCATGATGAGGGGGGAAGAGCTGCCCTTGGGAACCATACTTGCCATCCTACTATCAAGGAGCCATCACATTCTAGAGGAAAGAGTCCTTACTGACACATACAGGTATAGATAAGATACATAGTAAGGGTAGGTACAAGGTAACCTTAGAAAGGAAGGCACTAGCAGTTGGGCTGGGGGTCGGGGCAGGAAAGGTCACCTGCGAAAGGTAGTGCGTGAGCTGAGTGTTGAAGGAAACCAGCTATTCCACGAGAGAAAGGGGATGAGGGAAAGCCTTCCAGGCTTGGGGAACTGTCACAGTAATGGCACAGAGACAGGAGAAGCTGCCTAATGGGCCAGGATAATTAAGCCCTAGGTGCAGGAAGGGGAATATTTTCTAAGAAGATTAGAGAGGTAGGAAGGAGCCACATTGTACAGAACTTCAGATGCCAAAGGATTTTGTACTTGATCCTGGAAGTGATAGGAAACCAATGGGGTTTATTGAATAGGAGAGGGAGGTGACATAGTTCAATCTGTGCTTTAAGAGAATCTCTTCAGTAGCTGAGTAGAGGATGCTTTGGAGAAGGGAGAGACTAGAAGCAAAAGGACTGAGAGGCTATTGCCATAGTCCGGGCGATACATGATGAAGGATTGAACTACAGTGGTTGCCAGGTGGGTGTAGAGAAGGGGACATTTGTAAGAGATGTTGTGGAAAGAGAAATGATAAGGTTTAGCAACTGTTTATTTACCTGGGGTGAGGGAGTGAACAGTCAAGGAAAGCTGTGGAGGGGCTCCCCTGGGAGGGAGCTTGGGCTAGATGCCGTCTGATGCCCCTTTAAACTGTGAACGTGTGATTCTGTAACATCTGTTTAGCCAGGAAGTCCCCAGCCTAGGTCCCCCTAGGGACAGAGCAGCTTCTCTTTCCTCCCTTACACACCTTTCTCCTTTAGGTGCCAAATTTCCTATCAAATGGACAGCCCCAGAAGCTGCCCTATATGGCCGATTTACCATCAAATCTGACGTGTGGTCCTTTGGAATCCTGCTGACTGAGCTGACAACCAAGGGTCGAGTGCCCTACCCAGGTAAGTAGAGTGCAGAGTTCTGGGTGGGTGTCAGCAGGGCTACAAAAAGGGACCGCCCCAGTTGGTACCTCCTGGACCAGCATGCAGCCAAAAATGAACAGGTACAATTTATCTTGTGTATCTGTGCTTTTGGTTGACCTGGCTTTTCTGGTCACATAATTCCCTTTATCCTTCTCCCACTCAGAAGTTACTTCTGGCACTCTTGCTAACTTAGAAAAGTCATGAGTAAGAATAAGTTAGAACGTAATCTTTCGTGAAGAAACTTGCATTTTTACAAGTGGCAATGCCTTAATCTAAGGAACAAGTGAAAACCAAATGGTGGAATTATAGGCACTGGCAAGAATACGGGTGGGGGTCAGGAAGAAACTGCCCAGTGACTTTGATATACCAAATTGTCCTGAATATGACATCCACCTAGGTATGGACAGCATCACCTTCCCACCCACCCCCCAAAAAAAGTCTTTTTGAGAAGAAAAAAAAAACCCAGATATACTTCAGGGAATCCATGATTTCAATGAAGTATGTGTTCTCTTCATTGACATAGCTTCGTAGACAGTCTTCATGGGTGGCTATAGACAGAAAAATGTATCCCCTAGTGGTCAACACTGAAAAAATAATTGTTATTAAGAAAGTTGCAGAGATAGATGGTTGAGAAAGGGTTAGGAGCTGTGCATACTTGGTCTTGAGTAGTCTCTACCAGGCATCACTGGCAAATTATCAGACTTGTAATATGCTCCAAAGGGGGAAAAATTACCAAGAAGGGAAATAAGACCCCAACATCCAATTGTCACTAGGTTAGTGGCAGATAGATTAAAAACCAACTGGAGGGGCAGCTAGGTGACGCAGTGGCTAGAGCACCGGCCCTGGATTCAGGAGGACCTGAGTTCAAATCCGGCATCAGTCACATAACACTTACTAGCTGAGTGACCTTGGGCAAGTCACTTAACCCCACTGCCTAGCCAAAAAAAAAAAAAACTGGAGTAAGATTATTGACCATCCTCAAGTTTTCTCCATGCCCTATTTGAGGAAGAAGGTGTGGCCTATATTCAGAACAATAGGGTGAATGCCTGAGACCAGCCCTATCATCAGCTGTGGGCTCCCACTCCTCATCAGGCTAGAGCAGCCTAGAAGGCACTGAGGAAGGATGGCTTGGTTCTGGGGGTGCCTACAGACAGGGGTTGTGTCCTGGGAAGAACCTGAGGCAATCAAGATGATGATGTGGCATCCAGAGTGGTGCTGTCATACAGGCCTGATGTCCCAGATGAGGGAGGTGATGGTCCCTCTGTCCCGTGTCTGGGTCAGAGCACATTGGGAATTTTGTGTTCAGGTTTGGACACCAGATCTTAGGAAGGATGTTAGCACGTTTGAAGAATGTTCAGGGCAAAATGGTAAGGACCATGAGGAAACTGGAGATCATATTATAAAAGACCCTAGGGGTGTTTGGCTTGGAGAAGGAAAGCTTTGTGGTTATCTTTATCTTCAAGTACTTGAAGGGCTATCCCGTGGAAAGGGAATTAGACTCGTTTTACTTGGCCCCAGAAGGCAAGACTAGACTGGATGACCACACGTCAGCAATGCTGCAGAGTAGAATCCTTTCAGGTAGGGACGTTTGCTTTAGAGGCTTCTGTGATTTCATCTCTGTGATTCTAATGGACTCAGTGTCTAGAAGAAAGGAGAGGGCATCCTTCTGCCCCCTTCAGTTTTCTTCCTCTCACCCTCGCCCACAGGAATGGTGAATCGGGAGGTGCTGGACCAGGTTGAGCGAGGATACCGGATGCCCTGCCCACCAGAGTGCCCTGAATCCCTGCATGACCTCATGTGCCAGTGCTGGCGAAAGGACCCTGAAGAACGACCCACCTTTGAATACCTGCAAGCATTCCTGGAGGACTACTTCACATCCACAGAGCCCCAGTATCAGCCTGGGGAGAACCTATAGAGTTGGGCTGGGGCCCTGGTGCCAAAGACTCCCTCTTGTTCCTCAGGATTGCCCTGAGGGCTTGCTGGGCCAGAGGCCTATCCAGCTGAGACCATGGTGCTGTAGCTATGGTGGGCTCTTCCCAGAGCTTGGGCAATGGGCCACTTCTTCCCCCCTTGCCTGGCCAAAGGGACTTGGTCACCCCCTCCCTGCTAACAGTGATGATGATTTTGCCCTTGAGGTGAGCAGCAGTGAGGTGGTGGCCCCAGAGCTGCCAGTGATGGAGCTGAAGGGCTGAATGTCTGAGTCTTAGGCCTACTCTGCCATGGGCGTTCCAGCCCCTAGCCTCCCTCTGCTCATTGGGAGGATGGAGGGACCAGATTCTTGGAGCAGCAGATCTCAGGCTGACAGCTCAGCACTGAAGGTCAATGTGGGCACTGAAGACCCCTTTCCCTTCCCTAATTGTCCTTTGTCACTCACTCCCTCCTTCCCAAAAAAACCATGTTACCTTTCCTGGGCTAACTGCCTTGTCTGGTGTTACCAGCCAGTACAACAACAGGTTCTTACGGAAAAAAAGAGCTTGGGGCATTTCTTGGGTGGATTAGGGATGGTCAGAGCCTTTTCTGCTCACAGCTGAAAAACTGGGAATAGCCTCAGCCCTTCTGAGCCACATCTAGCTCAGCCCAAAGGGCCTGGAGCCTGCCCAGATGAGGGAAAGGCCCATATCCGGCTCAGTGCAAATCAGGTTGCAAATATCAGTCTTCCAGTCCCTGTCCAGTCTAGTCTCCTTCCTTCAACAGTTAACACCATAGGACTTGTCCATTAGAAAATCATGATGAAGATATCTTCTTGACATTTTCTGGGACCTCACGTTGAGGACTTTCCTCTTCCCCTTGAAACTGGTCGAACATTTCTAAGGATGCTTTCTCTGAGATTCCTCCCATTTAATGTTTGGCTGTGGTCGGCAAACTTCTGCTCAGTGTTTAGGCCTAGTACCTATCAAACCCTTTCCCCCACCTGTTGCTGATTTATTTATTCCCAGCTTCTTGCTCCTGAGCTGTCCAAAGATCCCCTTTTCAAGTTGAAGAGCCACCTTTCACCCAGGGGTCCTTCAGGGCTGCAGGGCTCATTCCTTTCTCTCACCTTTCACTCACATACTCTTCCCTGCCAATCCATGGGGGTAAGAGGTCTTGCTGCCCCTAGCCACTGTGCTTGAAACCCCTTTGGGAAAGGTTAGCCCAGGAATCTCCTTTGCATTAGAGTTGGCCTTTTCTCCCCAAGAGGGACTAAATCTTACAGAGCTCTAATAGCATGTTGGAGGACCCAACCCATCATAGCTTCACTCTTCACCTCCTCATAGATCAGCAGCAGCTCCTGATCCTTTGGGGCTGCAGGCTTTAAAGTGACTTCCCTCCGATCTTCCTTCCCTGGTTCCAGCCCAGTCCAATGTCTCCAGGGCTCTAAATGAGATGCCCACTGAGCACTGCGCTCCATCATTAAAGGCTGGTATAGAATCCTCACTTGATCCCTCCCATGCTTTCCACTCCTTCCCCCTCCTCAAGAATGTTCTTCCTCCAGGGTGGGGCTTCTAAATTGGGGAAGAAGGAGGTAGAATAGGGGAAGAACCAGAAAAGTCTGGTTTTTATCACAGAGGCAGGACAGAGCTGGGGACTGGTCAGCAGCAGTTAGTGGTCTAAGTCCATCACAGTTCTCTTCCTATTCTGAACTCAGTCCCTGTTATCCTTAAAGATTTTTTTTCCAATTCTGACCAGGTGACTTCAGGCTCTAAACACAATACAAAGCCACAGAATATCAGAACTACATCAATTAGTCTAATGACCCCATTTTACAGGGGATGAAATTGAGGCCCAGAGGAGGGAAAAGAACTTTTCCCCTCACAGAATTAGTGAATTAGTGGCAGGAGTGGGACTTGAGAATCCTGAAACATGACAACAGCTGGAGAATCTGACAGCTTAAAACCTGTTTCCAAAGCTGAGAAAGTGATGGCCTTTGTTCCTGGGAGATGGGAACGGAAACAATGACAAAGATGACCAGCAACGCTCTCAGCCCCTCCAAGGTGGTGCACACCAGACTATTCTTAGCACCAAGTGACCAAAGGTGCTGGTTGAGAGGGGAAACCCAATATGGCCACAGAGAAATCGGGGGAGGGGGAGAGGGATTGGGATTGGTGTCTTTTTGTGTGGGGGAACAGGGGTGGGGGGGAGAGTTTTTTTTCCATAGTCTCCGAGTTGGAAGTGACCTTAGAAGTTCTACAGTCCAGCTCCCTGTCAGTATCCCTGATGGAATTATCCAGCCTCTGCTTGGAAACCAATGACAGGAAACTTGCTCCCTTTAAAATAATTTAGATGTGCCGAGAGAACTTGGACCCGCTCTTCCAGCTCATGAGATAGGAGGAAAAGTGGTGGGGCCTGGTGGAAGGAATCTAAAATCTGGCGACAGAAACAACTGTCAAAGATAAGGAACCTCGCCCCAGAGTCTTTCCTGGGTCAGAACGCCACCTGACAGGGGCCTGGCATTTCCTATAGACCCTAAAGCCTCACTGCCATTTTTGGCTAGGTCTTCCTCATTCCTATCCCTCCTTCACCCTCACCCCCAGCCCTAACCTCCCATCTTCCCATCAAGCTTGTCTTTCAGGCACAGACCCTGACAAGGTTGTTTATGCTGATAGCAACAGGGGGTGGAGGGAGCAGCATTTCCTCAGAAATTTTGCAAAAGAGGTCTTCAAAAGGTTGGGAAGCCAAGGTTGCCATGTGTGCGTGTATGTGGGTGCATGTGTGTAGCTGTGTGTCCATATTTAACATGTAAAAAAATCCTTTGGGGAACATTGTACATTACCTTTTTCCTATTTCACATCCCCCAGTAATAGGCCCAGTCAGTCATCCCTCCCACCTCTCAGTAGTATAGCAATAATGACCACAGGCACCCTGGGGTTCACTTTCCCTGTGCTGGGTCAGTCCAGTGCCTGGGGCTGCACACCTGGGGTTAATCTCTCCAATCTCTGCACCAATCAGCTGAGAATGCAGGCTCAGGCCCAGGGAGCCCCAGGAGGAGGTGGCTGGGATTCCTTGTGCCAACCAGGCCTTGCTTATATGAAAGGGCATTGGCAATGGCCTCCCTAGATGCCCCAGCCAGTTCTGAGGGTTTCACCACTTCCATTCTTCAACCTCCCCTACCCCCAACCAATAAAGAGGCAATTTGTTACCTAATGAAACTGTACCATAATGATTGCTGTCACTGTCTGGATGCTCTTTAGCATTCCTGTCCTTCTGAAGGATTCAGTCCCTTACTACAAGAAGTTCTGAAGCTGTCATTTTTTAAAACAGTGTTTTGTAAATTCCAGATGACTATGCAGAGGCCTTGGGGTCTCTCGCCCTCACCCTGGTTTGGCCGTGTGTAGCCTTCAGCCTTGGTGGGAGGTGGGGAGGGAGGGATGTTTTGAGAATTGCAAAAAGGTGGTTTGTAAATACTTTGCATTTTGTCTGATTAAACACAAACAGACCTCACTGGTGCAAGATAGTGTATTTATGTGTGTGTGTGAGAGAAGAGGGTGTGTGTACCTCTGTAGGCATGTTTGTGCCCATTTGTACACGTGTTGCCTCCACTATCAGTCATCCTCTCTGATACCTCACTGTAATGACCCTGGGTTATCAGAGGCTATACCGGCTCATCCAAAGCTTCTGCAGGCGCCACCAAACTGAAAAGTCTTTAAATAAGGGTCTGGTTGTTATCTGAGGACTGACCTGATTAAGTTCTAAGGCACCTCCGAGGTGGCTACAGCATCTCATGAAAACATCCCTGCACTCTGAGATCTGTATCAGGGTAAGAGGATGAGAGGCTGATGAAATCTCAGATCCTTAAATATATCGAAGGTTACTGTGCATAAGAGTGCATCAAATGGCACAATGGATAGAGCACCAGCCTGGATTCAGAAAGACCTAAGTTCAAATCTGGCCTCAGACACTTGACACTTACTAGCTGTGTGATCCTGGGCAGGTCACTTCACCCCATTGCATCGAGAGAAAAAAAAAAGTATGCACCAAGCTCACATGTACACAGTACCTTTGTGCCAACATGTTACCTGTGTGTTCACTGGCATCTGATTTTAAGACTCAGAATGTCAGAACTCGAAAGGTTTTTGGAGATCATCTCAACCTCCTGAATTTTTCAGGGGAAGTTGTGAGTTGTCTTCTGGCTTGTCCTGGGGCAACCTAAACTATTAAGGAGGTCAAGCTGTCAGGCCAGGTCTTCTCCTTGATAGGGTGGAGTTCTTAGGCTGAAGAATGCCAAATCTCTGGTGCTTTCTTTTCCCCCTTGCTCCATAGCCTTTCCAGCTCTGACTGCCAGTAGGTTTATAACAGAAGGAGTGGGGAAGGCAGGGTGTAAGGGATCCCTGAGGATTTCAGTGAGGCACTTAACTCCAACAGTCAAAGAGAATGTCTAAAATTTAGGCCCTGGCAGGGGACCAGCCAGAGGTGGGGAACCTGCGGCCTCAAGGCCACATGTGGCCCTCTAGTTCTAGTTTTACAGAATGAAACCTTTTAAGGGGATTTGTTCTGTGAAGTTTGGATCCAGTCAAAGGGCCACACTTGAGGACCTAGAGGGCCACATGTGGCCTTGAGGCCGCAGGTTCCCCACCTCTGGCTGGTACCCTGCCAGGGCTTAGTCACTATGGAGCTCCCTCTCCAGACCTTCCTGGCCTGGGCGCCTCTGATTCTTATTTCTTTTTCCCTCTCCCCATTCCTTTTGAGTCCTCATATCTTCTTGTTCCCCCTAATCTTTCTTCTCCATTGCTTCCTATTTCCCATTTCTCTTCCCAGACAAGCAGATAATGGGAAAGCCCATGATGGATACTCAGACAAGACTGGGACTGAGCCAGGGTTCAACCACTTCATGGAAAGACTTTCATTAAGAACTTACTGCATACTGAAACTGTTGCTGTGAAAACAAAACATGGAAAGGAGGTCACAGCGTAACAGTCATACTAAGCCACTGATTCTCACCAGCAACAACTCCACATGACCAAAGTCTGGGTTTGGGGGCCCTTGTCCTCATTACTGAAAAGAGGATAGCGTTTAACATCAGTGACCTTCAAAAGGCATTTCGTTCCTTTGTTCCTTCCAGTTTCCTCTGTAAAATGTGGATAATTAATACTGGCCTCCGTATCTCATGTAGAGGAGATAGCTTGGCACAGTAACAAGAGCAACAGCACCAGTGTCAAAGGACCTGGGGTGAGATACCCCCCTCTCACAATGGCCTTAGAAATGTCGTTTAATCTCCAGTTCCCTCACCTATAAAATGAGCGAGTTGGACTAGTCCTTTGCTACATGAAGGATGGAGAACTCTAAGGTCCCCTCTAGAGTTATGATTCTATTATCCATTTTGGGAGCTATATGGATGTGCCTAGGATAACTGGTTCTCCTCCCCTCCCATCTTGTGGTGCCCCCTGGTGGGGGCTGTTGGAATTCAACAGACAAAAGTTATTTCTCCTACTGGCCACATCTCTACAACACCCTAAGAAAAGTGTATAAGCTTTGTCTGAAAGATAGAGAGCCCAGGAGAGGATTCATAGCGAGACCTTACAAAGTCTTGAATTCAGAAGTTTGAAGGTCAGGGAGGTCCAGCACAGATAAAGGAAGCCCAGCTATGACAGAATTGAGGGTAAAGAGCAACAAATGGGAATAGAGACCTGGATCCTATTCTAAGCACTGTTACTAACTGGTGATGTAACCTTAGACAAAGCACTTCTCCTCTCTGGGCCTCAATTTCTCCTCTGCACTATATGGTTAGTAAGAGCCCTGACACCTGCAATGGTAAGTAGTGCCCTCCTGCCTCCCCTCCTCTCCATACAATTTCCCGACTGGGGTTGCATTCTGGTACTGCACATAATTCCCCTCTGCTACCCCCATTTAAAGTCACAAAAATCAATGGTATTGTAAGGAGTCCACAAATCACTTAAAAATCCACAGACCAAAGTTTATAAAGCTTTTATTAAACATTTTAAACAGCTGTGCAATTGAGCCAACCAAAAATAAAACAATGTTTTAACCAGCAGCCCTTAAATTTCAAAAATGTTGCTGTTAAGTCCAATTCCCCAGGTGACAAGCACCAAGTTCAGTCCTTTGCCCAGGTCACCTCCCACTCCTCAGTCAATCCAAGGGAAGATGAGTGAGTGGATCAGACTGGAAGCATACTAAGAAAAACAAGGAAGTCTTCTTCCTGGGTATTTCTTTGTACTATGGAATCTTCGAAGAGACAAAGCCTCGGGGTCCCAGCATGGAACAGAAGTGGCCACTTCTTCTCACCTCTCCTGAGTTGTTCCACTCAGGCTGATGTGTTTGAGGGCTTGTGTCCTTTTCAATAATCTCCACCATTATAGAGATATCAACTGTGCTAGTGATAAATTCCTAATTCAGATACACAACATACATTCTTCCCAGCCAATAAAAACAAGATAATCTCCCAAGCAAAGCCACTGGTTGTTCATCACCATTCTGAAGCACAGACCTGCTCTCCAACCCAGTCATGTGGGAATCAGCAGATTTAAAGGAATTGGGACAAAGATAAAAAACCCCAACAGCTCATAGTACTGCCCCTAAGAAATGAGAACCCTGTAAACTCTAGAAATTGGGGAGGGATGTGACACTGTGGGGGAAGACACGTTCTGATACCCAGGAACTATTGCAAGAGTGATATCGTTTCTTTCAGAAAAAGAAACAGGAGAGTTAAATGTGGACAGCATTGAAATGCCAAAATACATTTCATTCTAGCCTACTGAGCAGGAAGCCAGAGCTCCCAGGGGCCAGTGGCTTCAGTAAAGAGCTGGGGTTTCTGCAATTATGAGACCTGTACTGACAATAACTCAACTGGCCCAATGGGCAATAATATAAGGCTGAGAGGTTGGAGAGAAGGAAACTAATTGCACTCCAGACAAGGTTCATCTAGGCAAAAACAAGACGTGCATTCTGCTGCCACATAGTGGAGATCCCTGGATCAGCAGAATTAGGCTGGCCATGTTGGGTCTGGTCCCCTGGCAGGATCTGAGATGAAAAGGTGATCATCCAGTCAGTGAGGTGTAGGAATGAAGGCAGGAAAGAAAAACAGCAACAACCGACCACTGCTGGGCTTCAAACCAAAAGTACCAGGTGGTGCTGTCGTTCACATCATAAAAAACTGGAAGTGACATGGCATAGGTGAAGGATGCCCAATCAGGAATGTGCTAATCTAGTCTACACAGATGTGCAGGAAGCCTGTGATCAATCATATTGTGAACATCCTTTACCCTTGGGTTCTCACCTTTAAAGCCAATCAATTAGCAGCATATGAGGATCCTAAGTCCCCACTATCCTGGGATCGTGAGCTGATTCAGGGAGGTGGGAGCCAGTGCAGTGATATAAGAAACAGTTCCCCCAACAGCTGTAACAGATAAGGAACAAGGCTGCCAGGAAGACCAAGGCACAGATTGTGCATGGCTTCCGCTCTAGGAGGAAGCTCAGAAGGTAGAAGCCCATGAACATCGAGTGATTGAACCAGAGAGCTGGGTTGAGGGGCTTTGGGATAAGCAGGACAGGCAGTAACCACTGAAGGCAGTACATGGTCTCTGTTGGGCAGGGGAGGAGAGGCACAGGGCCCACAACAGCAAATGAATTCTATCTGCTTCTTTGATTTCGTTTCCACTCAATTTTCAACAGCTTCTCCAATGTGTCAAGGAGCACCAAGTTGTCCCGTATTCTGAAGATATAACTTAAAAGAAAAACACAAAACACTTATGGGGGGAAGGCAATTAGTTCAACATTATGAACAATAAAAGTATGTACTTGTAGTTCTGTGAACTAGAGACCTCAATCAATGAAATCATACCAACTTTGCTCAGGGATCAAATCCCATGAAATTCATCACAAATTACAGAAAAGGTTTTCTTGTAGACATTTTTTTCTAAGTTGACGTGATGTAAGACGGCAAATGGAGTCACTACTTGAGCTTATGGTGTACCCAGAAACCCTTTAATCACATTCCATATTTGTCAGTATCAGCTAACTACTTTGAAAGTTATCATGGAAAAACTAGATAGTAGCTAGACAGAGACAATGCTGAGCAGCAAAGTCAAAACAAACTTTGCTTCAGTCAGTTCAGTCCTCATCAGTTACAAGGTAATCAAGGAGGTGACAAGAAAGCTCCCCCACCAGCTGAAGATGGCTTCTCTTAAGCCCCAAATTCCCTAGATGTTACCTGCCTCTATAACTTCAAGAAGATCAAACAGGGTCAGTCAGGCGCAGGCCCTGGGTTCCAGCAGTGCATAATCTCACACATAAACATAATAGAAAATAAAGTAATCACCAGCAGTCTTTTGAACAGCACCTCACCCCTGTCTTGTCTGTCAGGGCCAGATTAATTGTGGATTATCCATAGGTATGTTTTAATTTATTTTGTTAATTCCATTTTCATCTGGTTTGGGCTCTGTGTGTGAGCCGCTACACTACTTCCCTGCTGCCTCTGACGTTTTCCTAAATAGCTGGTTTAGTTCCTCTCGATGTCTACTGATCAAGTATATAAAGGCAAAAAGACCCTGACCCAAGCTTCCTGTGCTCCTGTAACAGGTTTCCAAGGAGACACCAATGATTTATGTATCCCTTCTGGACACAATGCCTATCCAAGAAAATATAAATGATCTTTTTCTTTCATTTATTCTCAAACACTTATTGTCTACCACATAAATATCCCTATAATGTGCTTGAGAAGATATAAAGATTAAATTTAAAAAAAAAAAGATTAAATAAGACATCAGTTGGCATGGAGTTTATAATCTAGAAGCCTCTTAAAAGTCAGCTTTTTAGGAGAAGTTCAGTCCATGACTAAACTGAGTGAAGGCTATGAGTGACTAGTCACTGAAAGTAACATTACCTTACTAATTTTGTTTTCAGAGGCAGAAACTACATTTCACCTAGTATCTGGAGAAAGCCAGAATGACCTGTGACTTGCCCCACCACCTGAGCAACCTTTGCCACAAATTCACACTGGCACAAAGTGCTAGGTGTGGTCACCCAGAAGACACCATGACTAATCTTTAACAAGCCAAGGCAACTTGATTCACTATAAAGTGGTGCTTTCATTCATATGGGCCAATGGGGAAGCACCCTGGTGACTGACTCAAAGTTTATTATTGGTTGCCCAGTTGCACTTGAGCTTTGTAACATCAAAGGAAAAAAGTATCCAGTCTCTGCCCTTTGGAACACTGATGCCTAAACATTTACCAGGACACTAATGAAGCTTTACTACCCCTAAAGGAAACTAAAAGGAAGGTAAAATTAAAAGGAAACTAAACCAGATACTCATTTAGAAAAAGTCCCCAACCAGGGTGCTATTCCCCCATCCAGGGTGCTATTCCCAATATAAATTTGTTGTTGTTCAGTTGTGTTCAACTCTTTGTGACCCCAAAGATACTAGAATGGTTTGCCATTTCCTCCTCCAGGTTAATTAACAGATGAGGAAACTGAGGCAAACATGATTAAGAGACTTGCTGAGGCTCACACAGCTAGTACGTGTCTAAGGCCGGATTTGAACTCAGGAAGATGAGTCTTCCTGACTTCAGGCCCAGCACTCTCTTCCGCTATGCTACCTAGCTATCCCAGCATGGTGTAGTGTGAGGTATCACACATGTGAGCCCACAACACTCGTGAGCACGGCCTAAACCAGATTAAAATGTAATTGGGAAATATTTAACAAAATTAATAAAAATACAATAAAATATATAGATACTAGTGATATGTTGTTTTCTAAGTCAATATGGATCCTTACATATGGTACAGTGACCATTGTTTCTTTTTGAGTTTGACACTACTTGTATAGTAGCTTGAGAATGCTAAAGTTGGCATTACTTTGTACCTGAGTCCAAATCCCAGGACTAGTTACTTGACCATAAGCAAGTTGTTTCCCCACTGAGTCTCATTTTCCAGAGGCTTGTTATGAAGGAAGTGCTTTGTAAACCTTAAAGTGATATAGAATGTTAATTATTACTGGCAATGAGATGGATGGAACCCACTGAACTATAATAGAGAACATCCCTGTGACTTTGTACATGGTGTTATCTGCCTCTCAGGTCCTGGACTCCCCCAGAGCTCGGGTGGGAATGGGACCTAAAGAGGGGGCCATCCTATGGTGCACTGGATTTGGAGTCAGTGGACCTGAGTTCAAGTCTTGGCTCTGCTACCTTCTGCCTATGTGACTTGAGCTTCAGGTTTCTTGCCTGTAAGAGGAGGAGGGTATTGGACAAGGTCCCCTTTCATCTCTAAACCTATGAATAGTTGCTGCTTGCATAGGGAATCTTCAGAACCTTATTCTTGGTTGAGTCTGCTCCTGGCTGCACCTAGAGGCAGCCTTTCCTCCCCACCAAGAAAAGCACTCTAGTCTTCGTGGAAGGTTAAAGAGTGCTGACTCCTGAGAAGTCTTCTTGATGCATGTCATATAGTTTCAAAAAAGGATACTGAGGAGTCATGACATGTGAGTCTGAGTTGGGCAACTCTGGCCAAGTCTTACTTCACATCTTTAGGCTTTATCTTCCTTATTTTACAAACAAGAGCACTAAGACTTGCACAAGGTTGTTGGAAGGTAATCGAAGAGTAGAATTCAGGCCCACTACATTCAGACACTGACCCTGGGCTCAATCTTCCCTTTTCTTTTGAGTACTGGCAAGTGTAGGAAAACCTAACACTTGTTTCCTTTAAATAAGAGTTCCTTTAATGCTTTTATAACATGATGTGACTTACAAAATTCCCCAGGAATTCAGTTACTGTATGAAATGAGGTACATCTGCCTTTTGGGATCAACCAATGTTTTGCCATAATGTACCTTTAGGTGTTCCAGCACCTCTGGAAAATCTCCAATTGCTCGGAGTCAAAGACAAGCTAAGTGCCTGAGTCTGCTTCCAGAAAAGGGAGCAGAAATTTACAGGTAGGAGATAAGTGACAATAAAAGGTTATCTTCTAGGAGTATGGACATTAGTTAGAAAAACTAAATGGCTTTAAAATTGCAGATAATAAAATGTTCTTCTAGATGTTAGCATAAGCCATTTCTCTACCTGGGTGACAATTTCCATGGAAGAGGCACCATAGGTTACCCAAATAATATCTGATCCCTGCTGCTGGATGTCAACACTATAGAATCTCATGCTGTGCTCTTCCATGAGCTGGTGACAGCCACCATGGGAATCTGTGTAGTGCAGGAGTGAAGAAAACACTTCCCTGCCAAGAGGCATGTTCATGCCAAGGTCAGCATGGAATTGGCAGAGTGAAGTGAAAAGTAAACCAATGCTTTCTGAAAACCCAACAACCAGGCGACAGGGTGGAGTAAAGAAAACCATACGATGTGGGCAGAACTATGACATTCTGAGTTATATGGCAGAGGGATGCAAAAATGCAGTTTAAATAGGGACCACAAGCAAAGGGTTAAAGAACTGAATACTTGAAAATAGTTTCCTATCACAACCCATAGCAAAAGCTGATAAAATATGGAAAGGCCTTGACTTCAGAGCTGGGGCACATTCCTACCTTTGCTCCAGCCTCCAAATGTCCTATTCTTACAGCTGCCAGCTAAATAATTATTTCAATATCAACAAAGCCAGTTTACTTAAGATTTTAGAGTAAAGAAGTCAAGTACACAAACTTCACTCCAGTCTAGCAGGTCTGCTTAATGACTCTGGCATAAATGATTCTCATTTCTGCCCCATGCCTGTGCTTATTCTTCCTCCTTTCCTATTATTGCTATAATCAAGCTTTAAACCTCACCTCCCACCATCTTACCAGAATTTTTCTCATTCTACAAGCTGAGCAGGTCCATGGGCTCAATTTCATCTTATCAGACCCTATGAACCTACTGACCATTCTTTTGGGGAACCAAATGAGCTGAACGCAATGAATATGGTTTATCTTAAGCACTAACTTCCCTGAATGAGTTAACCTGCCTTTATAACTTCAAGAGGATCAAACTGATGGCTATTTTCTGAAACCAGGCTTCTCTAGAAGCAAGATCTCACCAAGAGCGATTACTTATTCCTATACTTCCTTCCATACTTCCTATTCCTAAACTCCACCTTTTCATTTAGTCAGGTAACCAGTAAAACACAACACTCAGAACTCTCCTACACTTATGATCTGTCCCTAGGCTTACACACCTTACTAGGCATTTGTTCACCTGCCAAAGCCATAGGTGGGGTCAAAGGATGTGCCATTTCCTTTTACAAATTCATATCCCTTAGTCATAACGGAAGCTACTACTCTGAATATAAAGATCCTTACCCACCACTTTAAGGATCTAATAGGGTGACTACCATGCAGGTAATGCTAGTAAATCTCTCATGCCAAATATCTCTAAAAGTAGCCTATAATTTATCATATTATCCTCTCTTGTTACTGACAGATGAACCCCAAAGAATTCTACTGAACCCACTTTTTTCTGGGAGGAAAAGACAAAAGAATGGTATATTCGTTCTGGTTCTGCTACCAGTTTTGTAGCCTTGAATTGATAATTTAACCCTTCTGGTCCCTCATGTGCAAACTGAGTAAACTGGAAATTATGGTTTCCAATCCTTCAGTTCTAACATTCTATGACATTCCCAAGTTACACTTACAGATCCTTACAACAGAGGCCGAGCAGGTAAGAAGCAGGCAAACATGGAGCTCTTAAAACACTGGACAAGTCTTTCTTAGTCTAAATGAACCAGATTGCTATCATGTCTGAAAGACTGCTCATCCAAGAAAAACACAGCTCTTTCCGAAACCTGTCAACCTTTGCCAATTTAGACATCAATGTTCAAAAACTTCTGAAGTTTCTTCATGGTTCTCAACGAATCGTGAGCATACCAAAACTTGTACAACTACTTAATGAAATCTTCATCAGCCTAAGGGCCTTGTTCTGGATATTTTCCAGGTTATCAATATATCTTTATTAGTATGCCCAGAACTGAACACAGTGCTTCAGATGAGACCTGATAAAAGCAGAATAAATTGAGGTGAGATTATCACCCACCTATTCCTATAAGTTATATCTCTCAATGCAGCCCAAGATTGCATTAGGTTTTGCTGTTGTTTGCTGCCACATTTCAGTGCTGATTCATGGAGCCTGTAGTCTACTAAAACTTGCAGATTTTTTTTTCAGAGCATGCCTGCCTCATCTTGTACTTCTGTAACTGATTTTTCATGCCCAAGTATAAGACTTTATGTTCATCTCTACTGAATTTCATCTTATTAGATTCAGCCCAATGTTCTTGTTTGTCAAGTCCGTTTTGGATCCTGTCATCCACTTTGTTAGTGTCACTCCCAGCCGGGTGTTCTCTGCAAACAGGATAAGCATACCATCGATGCCTTTATTCAAGTCATTGATAAAAATTTTAAACAGCCCCAGGAACAAGCATAGATTCCTGGGCAACTCTGAGATGTCTTAGCCGAATCTCACAAATCATATTTTTAGTATTTGAAAATGTTATTAAATATAGTATCCTAAGGTTACTTCAACAATCACCCACTCTCCTTTTCTCCTACTGAATATTTCCTGGGTACCTAATAGCACTGTGTATGTAAAAGGGTGATTCTTCTCTCACCAATTCAGGGTGTCCGGTTAACATGGCCTACATCTTTTTTCTTGTCTCAGATGGTGGCATGTGGAAGGACAGGGGGAAAGAGTTACTTGAGGGAGCAGGTGACAGCAATAACTTTCAGAAATGGGATAGTGATAGGACTAGGTTGTTTTCAAATAAGTCACTTGCTGAGCATTTATTTTCCAATTAATCATTTCTGCTGGCAGCCATAATCCCAACCAATGATGGCAACTTTATAGGAGAGGGAAATGAGGCTTTCATCAGCAAGTTATACATACAAAGAAGTTTAACAATGCTGTGTTTTAACTGGTGTCCTTTTTGGCTTTCCTATATATGATCTAGAGTAATGCTATAACTATCCTCTCTATGGGGCTTCTCTTGTTTTTCAAGCACACTCTGAATTTCAAAGAATTCCTAATCCATGAAGTCACAGTCTAGTAGCACATGATGCCTGATATCCCCAAAGTGAAAGATCTTAAGTGGAATGTGAATATTCCAAAGTCTAGTTGGAAAAATGCAAGAGAAAAAGTCAGGTTAAGCTTTATCTTTTAAAGATATTTCATAGATGCTAGTAAAACTTCCCTTCTGTGGTTTACTAACAAAGCTATCAAAGTTGATCCTTGATATTTATTTAACTTGATAACCAGAACCACAGCTAAGTTTTCCAAAGAATGGACCAATGTTTAACTGACCATTAGCTATAATGAGAGACCTAATATTTTCTGTATCCTGGCCATCATATCTAAGAGTCTTTCAGACACAATCTTTGACATTGCTGCAGAAAGGGCTGATGGACTGGTTGAGCAACATCAAGTGAGTATAGACAGAAGTTCTCTCAAACACTTTACAGGCCTCTGCAACAGACAAAACAAGAATTTTCATAATAGAAACAGAAAGTAGATCTGTTTCTTGGGACTGAGACTGAACCATGTCCTAGATTCCACCTTTACTACCTTTAGGGAAAATATAAAGGTCTAGTAAGAAAAACAGAAAAAGTTCTTAAAAAAAAACAAAAAAAAACCCAACCCTGTTCCCTTTGTGTCTCTCTCTCTATGCCCATGCCTTCACAGCTCTATCTGCAAATTCAGTTAATATTCCAGACTTTGCAGCTGTCTCCTTTAAAAATAAAATAACTTATTTTGAAAAGTGGTATGAGTTGACCATCCCATTCAACTTCTTAGATGCCTGCATACCAAGGAGATAGGCAAGCCATGAAACAAAATAAAATAAGCTTCATAATCCAGCTGGTATTAACATGTTACTCAGCAAGCATGGGGAATAAGTAAAGCTAGGGCAGGTTAAATAGTGATGTCAAACTCAAATAAAACCATACTAAACCATACATAAGAATCCCTTGCAGCTGTTAAACTGACTTAGAAAAACACATATTAGAATGACCTATATGTTACTGAATTATTATTTATTTTGTTAAATATTTCCCAAATACATTTTAATCTGGTTTGGGCCACATTTGGAAATGCTGCATAGCCACAAAATTGACACCTCTGGCCTAGAATACCAATGCCCTTTCAGACATATTCATGAAGTGTGGTTGTGTTCTACGCAGCAATCAATAGATCAATAATTAATTGATCAGTAAGTATTAAGTGCCTATATATTTCGTGCAATATATTTAGGTAGCAATGAGAAAAAGGTATTTATTTTCTTGCGGAATGCACCATTAGAGGAGGTTTGCTTTTCTCTTTAACATTACAGCTCAATAGCATTTATCAGTTTTCTAGTGGCCCTAAACTGTGTTGTTTCTCAATAGCTTTCAGCCAACCACAACAAAACAAAGTCATTATATCATGCCACTCTACATTAAAACTACTTACTCACAAAATTACTCCAATGTATATAGCTAATTGATGTGAATAAAATTGCTGCTGTGTTGGAGAGGCAGATCAACAGCCTGACTCAGGATGAGAGAGTCAATATAGTGCAGGAAGAAGAGAACTAGGCTAAGGGTCAGGAAACTTTGGTTCTAGCCCCAACTATACCATAGACTTACTATATGAGCCTGGGACATTTCCTATCTAGGCCTGGTTCTGCAAAATGAAGTTCCCTTCTTGCTCTAAAGTTCCAATATTAGGATGTTATGATACTGTGATGTAAGGAGAGGGCACTGAAACTCTCCCAAGTAATTTTAGCAGCTGTGATTCAGTTTCTTTATCTGTAAGATGGAGATAACAAAACTTAACTATCTCCCAAGACAGTAATGAGGAAACTACTCTGCAAACCTAAAAGCATTATATAAAGAGCCACCTCTGAGATTTACCACCTGTCCTACCTTGGAAAAGACACCTAACCTCCCTCTTAGTTTCATTTGTAAAATAAATAGATCTAGACTAGGAGGCTTCTGAGGCCCTTTCCAGTTTTAGAGATTTATGAGTCTTTAATTATTATTACTATTTCCCTACAGGATGTTCAACACTCCTTCCCATAAAAAATACCCTCCATAAAGCCTCTATTTCCTACTTCTCTATAGTACTGCCAATACTTTCAGGCCAGTCAGCAAGCAAGCCACAGAAGTAAATCTGAGGCCCAGGGAGAGGAAGCAGTGACTCACCCAGGATTATACAATAAAAGGAACAAGAGAAGCTATTCTCCCACCCCCCCATCCCTCATACACATAATCATGGACTCAGGGATGGCATCTTACAGCTTTAGGGTTTCAGAAATTTTTTCATTTGATATTCATAGGAACATCTCAAGGCATGTGTTACTGCTCTCATTTCACAGATGAAGATACACAGGCTTAGAGAAGGAAAGTGGCTTCCATCCTCTCCAAGCACAAGCTACTGCCGGTGTCCCTATGCAATACACGTGCCCCCTACCTCTCTGGGACTCCACTGACAGTGAGGAAAACCCAGGAACCTGCGGATAATCCGCATGAAGGCTCGGAAGAAGGCTCTCTCCCATTCCTTGGAGTCCTGCCTCCCGGCTGCCCCTTCAGGGCAGGGACTGACATTTCCCAGCCCACTGCCCCGGGAAGCGGAGGGCGCACCAGGGGAGGGAATGGAACCTTCTGCGCCTGCGCCGAAGGCGATGCTCGTGGCAGTGAGGAGCAGCGGGCCGGAGTTACGCGCTTGCGTCGGAAGAGGGCTTTCCCCTCACCCCCAACCCCTCCTCCCTCCAGGTTACCTACAACCCTTAAGGGGGAGCCGGGGAGAGACAACATGGCGTGTAAAGGCTGCCCACAGAACTCCCACCCCTTCCCGCCGCGCTGAGGCCGGCCCGAACTACCTGCAAACGCAAACGTCGCCATGGCCGCGTCGCCTCCGCCACTGCTGCCGCCACCGGAAGCCCCAACGCCTTCCCCTTCCCTCCCCTCCCCTCCCCGCCCTCCCGTCTCCTGTTCATTGTTACGGGCCGAGGACCCGCTCCCGAGCCGGGCCTGGCGTCGGTGTTCGCCTGAGTTCCGCGCATCCTGAACCCCCAAGGCCCCCCTGCGCCTCCCCGTTAGGGCCCCCCTGGCCCTTTCCTCATCCGCTCCCAGGCCTGTCTCAGGGTCCTGGGTTGCCCAAGTCAGCCCTGGAGTAGACGAGATGTAACGATCTACAACCTCCGCGAAACCTGGTTCTTTTTCGTCAGGCACTGTGTCGGGCAGCCCTAGGGGAGCGGCAACGTGCCCCGCATGCGTGTGCGAGAAATTACGAGCTTCGAAAGTCAGCCCTCCGTTAACTGCGGCCGTCGGGGGTGGGGATGAGGAAATGATGAGCTGGTGATCCGCAACCCGCGGATGGTCGGACCATGCGCAGATAAGTTCCCCCATCAGTAATGATGTAGTCCTAGGGACTTAGAGGAAATAACGTTATCCTAGAGAGGCAAGAAGGTAGAGGAATGGTGTGGGAAGGCTTGCACAGGTACTTGGCCAGGGGTGCAGCGGATGGAGCTTGGTATGGGAAACCAGGAAGCCCCGAGTTCAAATCCAGTCTCAGACACGTACTAGCTGTGTGAGCCTGAACAAGTCCGTTAAACACTGCCTGCCTCAGTTTCCTCATCTGTAATAGTACCTACCCCCCAGGGCTATGAGAATTAAATGTTTATTATCTTCCACTACCACATACTGCTTCAGCTAAACGGGACCACTTACCTTCCCTAAATTCAACTTGTGTTTTCTGTCTTCCATACTTGCTCCTCCTCTCCAGGAAGCCTTCCTTGGGTCATCCCAACCTACAATGAATCTCCTTGCAGTGATAGCCCATTTTCCTTTCTGAAGGATCACTCAATCACAAAATCTTAGAGCTGGAAGGACTCTAGTGCTCCCAGACTCAGAAGTCATTTAGTTCAATTCCTACCTGCATAAGAATCAAAGTGCGGAGCTGGATACCATTTTTTTCCCCAAGTTACACAGTAATCGTGCCTAATTAGAAAAAAGCAGTAGCTCATTAAAAGAAAGGCTCTTTGCAAAATTGAGTGGCAAAATGGAGGAAAAGCATAAAGCACTTGCATATTATTTTGAAACCCATTGGCTTTCTTATGACAAAATACTTGGAAGGGTATTTGACAAAGTAGAGATGGCCTTTTTTTCTTAGTGATAATACAAATGAAATAAATTCGTTTTACAACAAAATTTCCTCTTGAAAAGTGTGTATTTGGTGGATAATCTCAAAGAGCCTAATAACTCTAAATAAATTAATACAAAGTATTAAGAGTTTAAATTCATACTCTAATCCAGAAAGATACAGTGACTGCATGTGTGAGAAATTCAAAGCTATAGATAATGAATTTACAAAATATTTTGTATTTTTTCTTAATTTTAAGAAACATGCCCTGTAAATTAAATAGAAAAAAGTGAAATCTTGTTTATTAAACTTGACCAGTAGAATTATCATTTTGTTTTCAAAATCTAGACATTTCTAAATATGAATGAAAGTGGAACCCATTTCTATAGGCAAATGATAAATTTGATCTTATGCCATTTTTTTAAAAGAGAGTTTATTGTAATGTGATGAAGCAGTAATGACTTCTGTGGAATTTCTGCTTTATAGTCCTATACAGAGCACAATGTGAATGAATGCATTTATAAACACCAAAATAAAACAATGGCGCAATTATGTACACGTTACCACTTTAAAAACTCTTTCTCTTGATAACTGGATGAATTTCTTCTACTGCTGAATCATCTTCTCTGTATACTCTAATGGTTTTATCAGTTTCTGCAGTGAGTAATGACTTCCAAACGGGTCAAAGGTACATGCAAATATTCCTGATCACTGTCCAAAGATCCAGGCTGCACAGTTGCATGTACTTTTTGGAAACTGTAGCCAGTTCTCCAGTCCCAAAGATGAATAGTGCCATTATCCCCTCTAGATACCAGCACTCCATCTGAATTCACGGTTAGTGTATTAATTATAGCACTATGACCAGAAAGGTTTTAAATGAAGTTTCCATCAGGGAATTTCCACTGTTTACTATTATCTGAAAAACCAGATGCAAGCATGTAATGTCTTGGATGAAAAACCACCACTCTGTTTTTTGTTTTTGTTTTTTTTGGTGATTCATTAACCTGACACATTTTTTCTTCCAATAAGTCCCATAATTGTATGGTCCTGTTGTGGCTTCCCATTATGATCTGTGGTTCTGAAGCTTGACACTTTACTGTAGCCACTACCTTTGTATGTCCTGCCAGTGTGTGTGCACTGTCTTTTGTCCTCAGGTCCCATATCAGTGCAGTTGAATCTCTACTACAAGTCATAAGCACATCAATTGTTGAGTGCAAATCCAAACCATAAACTGCACTTAGATGTCTGGGATAATGTCTGACAACCTAATTGTATTCCAGATCCCAGCACTTCACCAGTTTATTTTCTCCACAGAATAGGTATGGACTCCTTGAACTTACTATCACCCTTTGTACAGTACCGATCTGTCTGATCAATGACAGTTTCCTTTTGCCACTAGTCAGGTCCCAGATTTTTATAGTCCTGTCAGCAGAACCAGTAACAAACCACTGATTTCCAGGTTCTACTGTAATACATCAGACTCAGCCTACATGTCCACTGATGACTCTGTGTAATTTTCATGGTGAATGCCACTGTGGGTTAGGCATTGTAGGTGCTTTTTGGGGCATCATTGCAGTATTCTTGGTGACACTAGTTTCCATCATAGCCATAGCTAACCCGGGTTAGCTGAATATTCAGGAAGCCTAGCATGTCCATAGACATCACCTAATTAGCTGAAGTATTTGTATCTATCCTGGATTGTGAAGGAGGTAGGACCACAGCGAAAGATTATGCAACAACTTCATTCAGCATGCTTTGAATCTTAGTATCTGCATTCAAAGCCACATCAGGTCCTGGTGGATATGGATGTGTACCAGTCACTAAATATTCAAGTTCTTGTCCTTGATTGGCAGAATACAGTTTATATCCCTATGCATCCACTGCATTCTGAAAGCCTTTCTCTATAAGATTTTCCTTCAAAATAAGCATTTGCAACCCAGGACCATACTGGGGATGAAGTTTGACAGACATCTTCAGCTTGTGACTCTTCATCCAACTATACTGGCTTTGCATTATCAGTCACATATATGTTACGGGTCCTCGTCAATAATCTGAACACAAGCATGTGCACAGAATATTTCTCTACCTCCTCCACCACGATGCCGATCACTTGACCTCTCCTCCAGCCCCCCAGTCCCTCCTTCAGATCCAAAGACTAGATGGAACACTTGCTGCACAGACTGCACAGTCCTTTCTGGTACCTGGAAGAGCAGGCACTGGATATGACATAAATGGCTATCGGTGCCGGATGTGACATAATGGGTGTATGCCCATTGCATGATTTTACCCCATCTAAGAACTTGCGGTGTGTGTGTATAACCTACGTCAGATTGCTTGCAGTCTGGGGGACGGGAAGAATGGAGAGAGAAAAATTTGGAACTCAAAATCTTATAAAAAATGAATGTTGAAAGTTGTCTTCACGTGTAATTGGAAAAAATAAAATACTATTTATATTAAAAAAATAACTTGTGATAACACATTGAAACAAGCATTAGAACCTAAAAATCTTATGGCTTTGACTCTAGGCAAATAAAGAATTCTCTGGTTTAGCAAACAAAGTAATTTAAATTTTACTACCCTTCATAACATCTTTTCTGTGTGAATCTCCTGTGGTTGTTACAAAAGCAGTATCCAGTTCAATAAAGAAAAAAGAATTTCGAGTACCAGTAACATCAGAGATACTATGTTTCGAGAAACTTTGCCTCAAGAAAGAGCCCACCTGCTGCATTAATAATATTATGATTATTATTTTATGCAAATATGAAAATTATGAAGAATTTTATCAAGTACCTGTTACTTTATTTTTACTGTACATTTAAAATTTTTGTTAAAATATGATAAATTCTTAACTTCATTTGAATAAAATATAGGCTAAGTAAATTATTAATGTATACTGTTTTCTGAAAGGTATAAGTAGGGGCACAATTTTTTTTTTTAAGTAAAAAAGGCTTGCTACACAAAGTTTGGAAATCACTGCCTTAGAGTAAGACTTCTATTTTTAGCTGGTGTTATGGAGACATCTAGTGGTGAGATCTAAGTTGGTTCCCCAAACTAATTACAGGGAAGAAGAATCTTTATTAAACCAACAGCTATAGGTAAAGAGCATCCTTATTAAACCCATGTCCTTTCCAAAGCCTGACATAGGGGACAAAAGGGAGCATAAGCTATATGCCCTGAAGGCCTTTTTGGAAATTGCAATCTAGTTAGAAAGACAGTATCTTTGACTTTTTTTTTTTTTTTTTTGCTTAGGCAGTTGGGATTAAGTGACTTGCCCAGGGTCACACTCCCAGTAAGTGTCAAGTGTTTGGTCTGAGGCTGGATTTGAACTCAGGTCCTCCTGACTTCAGGGCCAGTGCTCTATCCACTGTGCCACCTAGCTGCCCCAATATCTTTGACTCTTAAGTAGGACAAGTAGGGCAGCTAGGTGGCATAGTAGATAAAGCTTTAAGTCAGGAAGACTCAGTTTCCTGAGTTCAAATCTGGC